TTATTCCCAGCTTGCTTGCTTCAGGCATTGCTTATTAACTAGGATATCAGAATGACAGACAACATCATGCTCTCAAAACTCGTTGGAGCTGCTATTGCACACTACTCATTTGGCACATCTTCATCATTCAAATTCATTTGACACTTGTATAGTTCTATTTTCTAACAAATTGTAATATTCTTACACATGCGCGCATATCATGAATGCAAAGAAAATGCATCTTAACATTGCCTATATCTTATCCCTCTCAAATCAACTCATACGACTTTGATTCCAATTCAATTCATCCACCAATAATTGTTCTGATACCATTCTGCCAGGCCTTAGAATCTAATTTGAAAGAATTATCTATTTTAAATCTTTTAGTCATCTACTAGAGCCATTAATAATCATCTTTATAAAGATAATCTATACAATGGAAACTATATTTCAATTCATCTTCATATATATATATATAATTTTATCTTCCAAAAATTATTTGCATTAATCATAACTAAATTTTTAAATCAATCTATCTTAATACATTCTTGACTATAAAATAATGAACAGAAAAAAAAACTTCAACTAGAACTGGATGCCTTACACCAGCAATCCTCACCCTTTCCTGAAATCATGAAAAACTACATAATGAGCAGAAGCCCGATAGTTAAACCAAACCTACAACTGCATCCAATGTATGACAAGCAAAACAATATGTATACAATCATTCAAATCAACAATGAATCTTATTTATCATAAATTAACATGCTTAAGAATATGTATGCATGAACAATACTGATCATTATGAATCATAATCATGAAAATAAACAATAATCATTACCTGACTTCTATCCCACATAGGAAATGGGCTATCAAAAGACTATTATATGAAGTAATGAAACAATGCAGTTGTATCTTAGATCTATTATTATCAATGTCGATCAACATCATGATTATCATTCATATGTCATTTCATATTATTTATGTTGTATGTATCAATCTCATATATCAAGTGTGTCACATAACTGTATCTATATTTGTATCAATGTTAGCATCATCATATTTATGTATTATATCATATATCATATAACTCATATCTTATATAACTTGTGTATGATATCATCTCTACAAAATTATGCTCACATTCATATTAATGCAAATTAGGACATCGAGCTAATCATATTATGCTTTATAATTATGAATATACATTGCGCTTTAACCTAAAGGCAAAAAATAAATTAGTAAGTTAATGATCGATTTTTGAGATGGTTCAATATGAATAACTCTTATAGAATTCACATGTTAAATCAATTTAACATAACTATTTGGAAATAATCATAATTTAATTCTAAAAATAAATTTTATTCAGTGAACTTTGATGATATTTATTTATTATACATAAGCTCAACTTTTGTCTATCAAAATTCTATTTTTAGTTTGATTATGTAAGTTTCATTTTCATTTATTTAGTCTTGAACTTGTTCTCCCATTAAAATAGACTAATATGTCCTGCACTTTGGCTTATTTTGAGAAGAAAATAAATCATGATTTTTTTCAAACTACTTTATGCCTTTGTAAATAAGTTCTTAAAATTTAAGATCAAATTATATTCTACATTATTACTTTTGTAAATGAGTTATGATGTGCTGAACCAAACTCAAACAGGAGATATGACTGGAATAATTGATTTTGAAAAAAAATAATACTATATTTAATTCCTTTTTTTTGGTGATGAGTAAGCACTGTCTTTAGGCCAATGAAAATCCTGGTCGACCTAGCATGCAACCCACACCAATTTACACGGGCCAATACTTAAGACTTTCACTGTTTGCCAAGGGATTCGAACTAGGGACCTAGGCTTTGCCCAGCCAGCTCTTCACCACTCAGACAAGCAGCAGTAGATTATATATATTTAACCATTAGGTTATGAATCATGTTTGTAAAGTAAAAGTTTAAATAGGAAGTCAGACTCTCCCTCACACATGCACTACAATGATACAATATTATTAATTAAATTCATTGTGCGGTTAGTATCATAATTTTTCTAATTTTACCAAGATTTCAAACTACAATAATTTTTTTTTTGTATATTTTCCATCATCAATCATTATTTTGGAAAATTAATAATGAACCTTTCTTTTAAAAAATATTAAAAATGTGTTACTTTGGGTGCTTATTTGATCTTTTTTTTGCTTTATATTTTTCTTAAATTTTTTGCAACATGATCTATCATATATAAGAGTTGTATTATCTAAACTAACTAAAGATCTATTTGGGACAGTTTTTTTGCTGCTTTGTTTTTCAAAGAACTATCATAATTTTATTTGGCTACTACCTTCGTGTAACTTTTTCATATCTTCTCAAAAATTTCTATAGAAGAAAGTTACTTCTTACAATCAGATTAGCTAAGTTATTCATGATGTAAAAATTTTAACCAACTTTATAAAACCTGCAACTATCGAAAACAGACTCTAAGAGATGTAATTAGATTGGGATATCACAAAAATATATGAGTCATTTGAATTTAATCAATTGGTCTTTTTTTTTCTTGGAAGTTATAAATGTAAAAAAAAAAAAGGAGAAATGAATATGGAGGAATAATAGCACCGTCCGATTAAGGATTTGTTTGGGACGGTTTTAGCTTTGTAGATGTAGTTGTAAAATTATTATAATGAAAATTATTTTTAAAAAGCTACTATAAAATAGCAGATTCGTAGCACATATTTTAAAAAAAAAAAACAGTAGCTAAACAGAATTGTGATTGAAGTTTGAAAAAACAAAGCTGAGAAAGCTATTTCAATGGATCCTAAATTCAATAATGTTGTTTGATGTACCTATCTGATATCTTCAACTTTTAATTATGTAGTATCATTATTCCAACAATGAAGAGAGAATTATATATTTTAAATTAAAAAAAGCGGTACTATTAGATAATCCAATGATTCAATTTTTTATTAAAATAATATATAAAAATAAATATTCAATATGCAACTCCCCTTCAAATAATAAAATGGATTTATATTGTGTTGTTAAAAGGAAATTATACACATACATATACATGTAATTTATATTTCCAAGATCTCTCAAACATGCTCTATTTAATTCTGGCCCATTGAAGATAAGAGTAAGCAAAAAAAGAATTGGCTCATTGCTCAGCTCAAATTATTTAGCAAGATCTAGCTCGATCCAAGGAGAGATTATTACATACAGAGTCCGGATACATCTTGCATCTAAATTTTATAACGGTACACAAAAAATACACAGTAAATACATAGTTTGGTAAAAATCAAATGTATTTACTGTGTACCCTCACAAATCCGGACAATCTGAACTCCACACGCCATAATTTTTCCGATCCAAGCGAACAATCCATTGAATATTTGATTTTCAACTTAAAATCTCATCACTATCCATCTGTCAAAATGCACAAAAAATGCCACAATGGCCTCAAAGCAACTTCTACAAATTGTCAGTTCTGAACAAAATATTCAGAGCTTTGGCTACTAATAAGAATTCTTGGAATTGAATCTTTTGTATGTGCTGTATGTATGAGTATCTTAACTGCCCAAAAGAAAACAAAAATTAAAATTTCACCTAACCAAACAACCCATTCTTGCAGAACAAGCTGCAACCAGCTTAATCTTGTAATCTGTCAAAAAGAAACAAAATTACAGTCGCAATATTGGTTGGTTTTTTTAGATTTAAATAATAACCAGTCATTATTAGAAGGATCATGCCATTGACGTGGTCTCACTGTATATCTAACCCAAAAAAACCTTATCTTTCTATTCTTCATCAGTGTGATGGAGACTCTTTTGTCCCACCCACTACTTTCCATAATGTGCTCTCTCCAGCTTAGTTGCAGGTATCTTCAATGCTCAGATCTTTTCCTTGAAGAAGATAATGAGGCTGTATGAGTGGAAATTTAACTAATAGCTTCTACCTTTCTCAATGGAAAATATGTGCCAGTGGGTCCAGCTATAGAGCTCAGTTAGGCTTTGGCCCTTTTAGAAAGAAGAATCAATCAAACACAAAAGAAAGGTTAACAATTGAGTTTGGTTCTCTTATGAGTTCCAGCTCTCACAGTTTGATAACTTTTCAGATGGATAAACCATGAAGCATTAAGGCATCTTAGGTTTTTTTAAAGCAGCTTTTTAGTACAAAATTTATAATTTTTTGTACTAAAAAACTGCAAAGCAATAAGAAAGCCGTCATAAACGAAGCCCAATATTTCCCCCCTTTGCTTTGGATTTGCCAAAATCTGCATATAACAGGCAATCTCTATATGATTTGATGGAATTGTGAAAAAAAATATATATATATGATAAAGGCATCGAAATGAAATTAATTGTCATCCACTTGTTTGGTTGAGAAATTGAGCTTTTGTTTCTTGTGATTATAAGACAAAAGAGTCATAATGATATTTCAATAATTTTTTCAATCTATTTTTCACTACAGAAAGGGACTTGAAATTCTGAAAGTAAACTGCTTATTTATTCCCTCTAATATCATCTAACCAAGCAGAGCCACAAAAAATAAACTTGGAATCAGATTTTCAATCAACCAAATAGCCACTTGGAATGGCAATTTGTGCCAGAAGGTAAGTGATGAATGATTCCAACCAAAAGGAAGGTTGAGACAAATGAACAAATCCTTCCTACAAGAAACAAGTTGAAAGGATGGATGTCAGAAGAGATTCTTTGATATTTCAAAATAATTTCAGAGCAATGTGAGAGGATAAGATGAAAGAAAGGCATATCCATTCACAACTACAATATATTCTCATGGCAAAGATGAGTTCATTTTGTTGGAAAAATCAAACTTCATAAACAAAGGAAAAGTGCAGGATGTCTTAGTGATTAAGGGAGAGTGCAAAGCCATGCATAGCAATGAGGTAGTTCAAGGGACGGCATTCTTCCTGCTTATTAAAGCAACATTTTAGTATAAAAATTTAAATTTTTATACTGAAAAGCTGTTTTAAGAAGCAGTAAGAAAGCCGTCTCAAATGAAGCCTTAAATTCTAGCAGAATGTGAATAATTTATTAAATGAAGACTCAAAATAACAGTGGTGTGAATCTTTTATCAGATCATATACAATAAGATAAAGGATCAGCAAGGAAGTTTAAACAGATAAGACTTGGATAAGAATCCAAAACAAGAGAAGCATGCTCAAAACCAGTAATATATATCTCTGCCTCAGGGAAAACAAAATGTTTGTCCCGTAGATATCACATAAATAAGCATAATACTATAAGAAAATTGAAGACAGTGGGTGGAAATCTGAGTTTCTAGCCAAAACTTGAGGCGAACAGCTCCAAATCTCCTCTCCTTGGTGTAAATATTCCAGCTTTTTATGAATTCAAACATCAATATTATTATGTTATGATAAGGGAGTCATCGTTTTCACCCGGCTATCATGTCAGCAAAATTCTGAATCATTCTATACAGCTTTATCTTCAATGTGAGCGTCAACTTCGCAAGATCTTTGCTTTCACATGTAGCCATGCATCTGGAGCATCGGCATAGATGAATTCAGATCATTTCCAGCTATAGCTTTCTGATTTTCCATCATCGTCGCAGCTGTCTCCACCAGTCACAGATAGAGCCTGTGCAGTACAAGTTAACTGAAGGGGGCCTTGTGGTGATCTAGACTGTGAGGCATTCTGCTGGGAGGTTGAGCAATGATCCTGAGAAACCCACAGGCCTCCCACCATGACTACAGGCCTATTTACTTGATTTGCTGCAGAAGTTGGCACTCTTCGAGTATGTAATCGATATTTCTGAACCAAAGGAGAATGGATCACAGGAAAGTAGGTTAGGAAACAAAAGATTAGCAGTGATTTACTAAGATTAAAATTAAGATAAAAAACTTTGAATTAACCTGCAAATGACTTTTCACTTCATCATTAGTCAGCCCATCAACCTTCATCAGTTCTCTGATCTGTTTTGGAGTTGCTACTGCAAGAGAAAAAAGGCAACGCTGCTTTAATTTGATTTAGTCTTTTAAATTTCTGAATAAGCAAAAGATCTAGTCTAGTTTTGCTGCCTAGCTCCTTTGAATCGCAGAAATGTAAAATTCTAATTCAATTACAGAGGTAGGACTAAAAGCTACACGCTATAAGCCCCCCCCCCAATTTTTTTTTTTTCAGATAATGATAATCACAAACTAAAGTAGAATACTGTATGAATTCAATCACCGCCCTTGAATTTCAGATTCCAATTCAATCACAGTAGCATCACTAAAAACCACAAGCCAAGAGCCTTAAAATTATTACTATTATTTTTTTTTTCTGATCATTACCCATCAAAGTAAAAAACTTTTAACGAATTCAGTCACCTTTACGTTTCACTTTATGAACAGATTTGTCATAACATTCCAAATTTCCAATCTAACCTTGCGCACCGCCGAGTTGCTGAAGAGCAATGATGAAACGCCGGTGAAGCTCCGGTGACCAGCACCGCCGTGCTTTCCTCTGCGGATGCTGCTGATACTGCTGCTGTGGCATCAAGCCTAGCTGGTTGTTTCCAGTGGAAGAGGATGCTATTGTCACTGCCTTCGAGTTCAAGCCACTGCTGTGATTGTCTTCTTCCCTGGTAACGGCCATCGGAGCTGAGCAAGGAACCTTGATTGGAAGGGGCACGAAGGAAAGATCCGGCAACGGGATGCTCAGATTCTCCTCTTCCTTCCTAGGCGCTGGCATGGCTGTGAACGGTAGAAATGCGCCGTCACTTTTGGATTCAAGAGACAGGGCATCGCAGTCCCTCCGACTATGGGATCCTTCATCCTTCTTCTGCTAAAAACACACAAAGCCAATCCTACTCAGTAATAGCAAAGAAGGAAAACGAGGGGAGAAAAAAACGATCAGTTCTTAGATGAGCACCTCTTGGGAATATTCCTTGCAATCGATGCTTTCATAGCTCAAGTTATCGCTCCAGAGCTGAGCTGAGCTCATCCACTCCATCTTCTCCTTACTCTTCTCCTCCAAATTTATCGCTTTCTTCTCCTCCTTGTATCCATCCGATCTGGTTTGGAGGGGAATAAATTCCTCAAGAACACAGTCATCACTGCCGCCGCTCTGGCATTGATCCATCTCCAGTTTCAGCCCACCGATCACTACACCCCACGAATTCCACAACCATCAAAATGAGGAAAAAAATATATATTTTTCAACAAAAAAAAAAGAATAATGAACTGAATATAAATATGGTTTGAGATCGAAAGTACCATCGGCGAGCAGAAGCATACATAGAGGGAGTTCTCTCTGAAAAGCTTCTATCTTGCGCCTCTCCTCTTCAAGCCTCCGAGCGAAATCCTCGAGCTTGGAGGCACGGCTGCCGTCTGGAATCTCATCCTTCAAACAGCTAAAAATCGTTCTTTTAGTAAATAATTTCAGATCAAGCCCTAGCTCCGGCGCTAGCGATCCCATATTCTCTCTTTCTCACCAAAGATCTTTCCTTTCTCTCAGAAATAACACCTTCCAACATGGATCAAGGAGATTAAAGGGGAAAATCCAAAGGAGTGACTCCAATTTATTTATAGCAGCAGGAAGACGAGACCCAGGACCAGTATAGATTAGGATGAGGAAGGGAGAGCAACGGAAGAGATGCGGTTCGATGAACCGGAATCCCCTGAACCGGAAAATCCTGTGCATTAAAAACTTGAGATTCGCCGCGGAGGGATGGCGGAAATGCGGAGAAAGCGGGATCGATTCGTCGCGTACCGAACCGGAGTCGAGATACCGCTTCACGATGATCTTCCGACTCAGCTGAGTCAATAACACGGATCGGACAGTCGGTGAGTGAATCTGTAAGGGGTACGACTTTCATCCTTATTACAATTTTGCCCCTCACTTCTTAGTGCGAGATTCTTTTCCGATGGGGTAGGTGGGGCGTAGGCATCCGTGACCCGATATAACTGATGCTTTTTTTTTCGTTATTTATTGATTTCCATATATTAATTTTTCATGTTGCATGCTTATCTATTTTGTAGTCTATTTATGCTTCAAAATGTCATATTTGTAACGTGTGTGATATTGATCGGCTTAATTATATGGTTACACAATCCTAATCATCGTTTTATTTTTGTATAGTCTAAGTAATTTTTTTTTATGATGATGTTTTTAAATTAATAATTAGAAAATATTAAATTTGTTGTCCTGAACATTCGTGACGGTAGTGGGTGAGTGACTGTGGTCTGAGGGACCAGAATCGACAGGCGGCGGTGGTCAGAGGGACCGAAGTTGAAAGGCGACTGAGGTTTGAGGGATTGTAGTCGGTAAGTGACGGTGTCAGGGACCGGAGTCGGCAAGTGACAGAGGTCGGAGGGACTAGAGTCGGTGGGCAACGAAGGTCGGAGGGACCATAGTCGGCGAGCGATTGTTGTTAGAGGGATAACAGTCGGCGGACAACAGTAGTTGAAGGGAGACTTGGTGGTGGTGGATGGACTGAGGTCCGATGACAATACTCGGGCTGATGTTCAGGAGCAACGGCTTAACGGATAGGGTTCGTCAGCGGTGGTGTTGAGGTGGAGCTCCAGGATTCTTCAAGCCTTATAGCTTTCTTGATCTTTAGCTCAAGGTCCAAACTTCCAAATATCCCGTCCATGTGAGACTGAGGGCCTATTATAGATTTTTGAGAGTGACTTGCTCTGTAAATACAGAGAAGATCTGTGATGAATTCAAAGTGATACAACGAACGACCCATACTAATTCTCTCGATCATAGAACTTTTATCAAATATTTAAGTATCTTAATGATGTCATAATTCAAGGATCTTGAGCACGTTGGATTTTTCTCATCAATCCCCTCAATTTGATTATAAGCATAGTACATTTAGAAGTCATTTGGTTATTCAATTTATATTTTGAAGCTTTCAAATATGTCTAGATCGCTTGATGTGACTCATTTGGGCTCGGATTGGACCTATTTTGATGTCATTGGTTTCGTCTCCTTGAGATATTCAATTGGCCTATAATTGCTTAAATTAGAGTTTGGATGATCCCGAATTTAATTTTGAAAGCTAATAACTCATATATGCTTTTAGATTTGTCCCTAATTGAAACTATTTTTGGTGATATATCAAAATTAAAATATTTCCTTCGAACCAATTCAAAATATGACTCAAACGGATCGATTATAAGCCAACTCAAATTTAGCTCAATTTCAAAACAAAATTTTGCACTATATGACCCGAAAACTCAAATATTGTAGTAAAATTAATTTGTTCAATTTTTTATTTTTTTTATTTTTTTTTTGTTTGTTTTTTTTGGACATTGATATAACTTATAGCATGCCAACCCTAAAAAAAGGTAAGGATTTTTAAGCACATAATATCAATATTTTCTTTTTTTTAATCATATTTATGCCATTTTTATAAAACTAATATCAATATTTTCCATTATACTATTTGAAATTTTATAAAAGTGAAAAGTATGAGTTAGAATTTTATTATAAAATTTAATGTTTATAACTGTATTTAAAAATGGTGTATGACAATATTAATTTTATAAATAATAAAAAATTGAGTATCATAAATGAAATTATTAAAAAAATATAAATTAATTTAAATGAATGTACATTAATATGTGTTAAGTAGATGATAATAATTTTTTTTCTAGCTTTTGGGAGTAATTTCATACAAAGCACCTCAATTTTAATTATATTTTTTTGCTTTAGCTCTTTCCTTTTTAGACATTTGCGACAGGATGTACCATAGCGAATGCTTTTCTTTGATGATATTCTTCTTATTGATAAGACCAGGGAGGGGGTTGAAGGAAAACTTGAATAATCTAGATCAACCTTAGAGTCTAAGGATTTTGATTTGAGTAGATCTAAAATTGAATACATGGATTATAGTCTTAGTAGCAATAGATCTAGTAGGTGGATTGTGACTTTGGGCGATCAAGTTATTAAAAATAGTACATGTTTTAGATATCTTCGATCTATTGTTCAAAGATATGGTGAAATAGATGAGGATATTATTAGTAGAACTCAAGTTAGATAGTTAAAGTGAAGGAATGCATTGGGTCTATTGTGCGATAGAAAATTATCCCTCAAACTTAAGGGAGAATTCTATATGATGGCGGTGAAACCTGCAATGCTTTATGGCACAGAATGTTGGCCATTTAAAGAGAAGCATAAAATTAAGTTACGTGTTACACAAATGATGATGCTCAGGTGGATGAGTAGCTTTACTTTTAGAGGCAGAATGCAAAACGAGTATATTTATGAAAAGGTTAGAGTAGCTCCAATAACATATAAAGATTAGAGAGAGTCACCTTTGATGGCTTGGTCAACTAAAATGTCGGCCTTCTGATGACCCGATTATGAGAGCAGATGTCTTATATTTGGTCTATGTTAAAAAAAAGATAAGAGGTAGACCTAGAACGACTTAGTCAGAAAGTATTAGAAATGAAAATTTTTTACTAGATTTAAATGACAATTTGACTTGTAATATGAGAGTATATAAAAAAAAAGATTCATGTAGCCGACCCCACATAGTGGGATAAATGCTTATTTTTGTTGTTTTATTATTTACAAAATCAATATTTTAACACTTCTTTTATTATTTTTTTCAAGTAAATAAAAGGGGAGTTGTAAGGATAACAAGTTTTTTTTTTTTTTTTTTTTTTTTTTTTTTTTTTTTTTTTACGACAAACTTAAAAAAAAGGAAAAAAAGCGTGAGGCTTGATCTAGTAGAAATGATTCTACTAGTATTTCTCATTGGTTATAAATGAAATCCATTATCATGAATGGAGAAGGTGTTAATACAATATATTAGTCATAAACTATACATAACAAAATTTTGCGGAGGAGATTGAAAGAGTTATGTCGCATTGAAGCTACCTTCAAGAGCTTTATTTGTTGTCTGGTCGTCTTTCTCCTTTAGGGAAAATCAATAAATTCAAAATAGAACTTTGTGTTGAAGTAGGAACTTAGAGTCGATGTTGATGACATACATTACCTTTACATGAAATGATGTTGTTGGTGATAGTGGATGAGTCTGCAAACAATATTTAGTTGCACAATTGTAATGGGGTAACGATAGTTAGAGAGGATCATAGTTAGGCCATAGTTTCGAAGGATAGTTATTAAGCAGCGATTGTCAAAATACCATAGCCAGGAGACTACAAATAGAGGATGATAGTTGAATAATGATGGCTGGTTGATTATAGTCGGGTTACAATAATCAGAGGATCATAGTCAAATGAAGGAGATCATGAGATAATAAACAGGTGGATGGTGGTTCAAAAACCATAGCTGAGTGATGGTGATTAGGTCACCTTAATCAAGTGATTGTGGTTAGAGTATTATAGTCAAGTAATGATGGTCAAATAGCGTTGTAAATGAACCGAACGATCGACAAGTTACTGGTTGCTCGGCTTAATTATAGCTCATTCATGGTTGTTTGATTAAGTAATGAAACAGGTTTGGATATTTTCTTGAATACTCAATGGTTAAATAAACAAGGTTGAACAACAATGTGTTTTGCTCGTTTATGTTCATGAATAACATCATTTAAAGTTTGTGAATAAGCTTGATACAAAGTAAGGGTGTCAAAATGGGTTTTTGGTTCGAGTTTGGGTCCAACCTGAGATTGATTCGCTCTTAATATGCCCAACTAAAACCAAACCTGTTTATCTAAATAGATTAAAATCTCAATCTCAAACTTGACCTTCCACGATCCCGACCCAACCCACAAACCCAAAATAAAAGCTACAATCTTCGACTCCATCATCAACGACAGGTCATGGGGGCTCACTCATTGCAATGATAAGCATCCCTTTCTCTCATTTTATGTGCTTCTTTAGCCAAATCCTATAAATTCATCTGATGGAAGTGACAGGTAGTTATGTTCATCCTTTCTCGAAAGTCACAACAGCTCGACGAGGACCTTCTTCACCTCCTTCAGTCAATGACGATACATAATGAAAGTTCGCTCGATATGATGATGCAACGGTCCCATTTCGCATTCTTATTCACCCAAATCCCATAAATCAACCCAATCTATGTTAAAATCATGTCAATTCTAGGTTGACGGATTGACCCGAACCTAACTCATTTGGTAAACAGGTCGACCCGAACTTGAAATTTGTAAGTCAAGTCTCGATGGGGACAATTTTTGACGCCCCTAGTACAAAGTATGATGTGATGCTCATTAAAAAGCTTAATTCATGTTCCATGCAGAGATCATGAATAAGCTTATTTATACATAATGTTTTGAACTAAATGCATTTATTACCTTAAATATTTATTTTGTATATTTTATATAACTTTTACTTTTATTATTATAAATTTATTTTATTTTTTATGCTATGCAAATTCATTAGAATGAATTAATTTATGAACGAGAGGGATTTGTTCATATTTGTTGGATTGTTTCTTTCAAAGTGCTCACGATCAACCTTGTTTATAAGAAAAACAATTTTTGAGCTCCTTTTTTTTTGTGAACACGCCGCTCGGTAGTTCAAAGAAACTTAGATATGTTTGTTAACAATTTCATTTAGTAACTAAAGAAAACTCTCAAGATATGTTTACAAACA